AATACTATGAACAGGATAGAAGCAAATTGCATATAGCTGTATTATTTTATTGTAATCTCTAGTCAATTGGCTGAGGGGAATAAAGTAAACATTTTGGCTGGAGCATTCAGTTTTGATATATTTAAAATGATACTTTTTGCTATTTCAGTTTAAAACATGCTTTTCTATATCATTTTTATTTCAAGGAGGTGAAAGGATATTAAACTGTTGCTCATGCTGGCTTAACACCTATTATCGTGCTGTCCCAAATCAACTTTTTAACCTTTAAATTTTTCTTCCAACATGTCTGCCTAAATCTCTTCTTTATTTCAGCCCATAACAACAACATTCTCTACTAATGTTCTGTCTCATGTTTCAAGCCAAAAAAATAAACTATTATTTATCTATGTCTAATCTGTAAGAACATTTTATAAAGATGGTAAAAATGAGTAATAAGGTAGAATTAAGATATGGAAGAAGGAAAAAAGAAAAAAAAAGGATTTCAGGACAAGACCCCTAAAGCTGAGGATGATTATTATTAATCTCCCAAGGGAAGATCTGTATGGGTGGGCAAATAAAACAGACTGTGGGAAACATCATTAATATGGACATAATATGGTGAACAATCTCAGTCCATTAGTTACGTGTGGTTTCTGCAGGTATAATGAAGTAGATTTGGTCACTCTGAGTGTAAGAAGTTTGTTTTTCAGAGATTTATGGCATAGATGCAATGAAAATAAATAATTATATTTTAAAGGAACGATCCAACAATCCTTTATGTTTAACAGATTTATTCATGTATTTGTACTCAAATGTTCTGACTGAATGAGAGCTTCACAGAAAAACATTCCATCTCCTCCATGTTCAGGAATGTCTATCTGTAGCTTCTCTTTCTGTTTTATATCTTCTTCAGCTTTCAAGGAAAAGTTTCCATGCTGAGTACTCAGTCTGACAGATGCAAGGATGTCAGAGCAACTCTTCTTTGACCACTGTCATTGTCATTCCGAAATGACAATAGCTTCAAAAAAACTTTCATGCACCAATGCTCTGTGGCAGCAAGCCTCTGCTGCATAAGGGATACTGCTATTGCTAAATTCCACATCAAGGCATTTATGTACCACAAAATCACAATGCTGGGGGGGTCGTGTCTTTCGTAGGCTTTAAATACCTGAAACATATCCACTGTGATAGCACAAAGATGCCAAACTGCCTTATTAAGAGATTTTGTCATGAGCAGACTGCAACGTCAGTTTTGTCAGGAGCAGACTGCAATGTATGCTAATTTATTCTACTGCAAAAGGCTACTAAGCAACTTGTAGAAAACTTGCCTTTGGTGTTTCTAGAAAATTTTGTAGTGGATACTGGCATATTTTCTCTAGCTGAAAATTTGAGGCTCTTTATACATTGCAGTAACAGTTTATTTGGTGCAATTTGAAAGATCAGTGCATCAAAGAAGGTGATGACCTGGCCCCATTAACTCCACTACATGTGGTTTGGGGATTTTTGTTTCAGACTTGATTTAGTTTTGTGTCTAGATTGAACATACCCACAACTCATGTGGTATGAGGCTGTTTTAAGGATTAGTCATTTGTTCAGGTTCTTGCCACAGAATATTTTCAGTTGGAGGACACCTCTAAAAGTTGTCATGCCTAACCCACACAGAAAAGAACCAGTTTAGGTCAGGTTGCTTGATTTGGTCTGGAGAAGTTTTTAATATGTTGATGGATGAAGAGCCCTAATTTATCTTGGCCTCTCTTCCACTATCTGACTAACCGTAAAATGTGTGATATATTTCTCCATATCTAAGGGGAATTTCTCTTCTTTTAGCTGCTGTCTGTTGCCTTTTCTCCTATCATGTTGCAACCCCAGGAAGACTGTCTACATCTCCTCACTCCTGTTAGGTAGTTGAATAAAGCAAAAAGTTCTCTCCTTGACTTTCTCTTCTTAATACTGAAACCACTGCCCAAAAGTCTTGTTTTCATGAGGGAGCATATGCTGGGTGCTTGCAGTAGGGTTGCTGTTTTAATTTTCTCCCAAATGATTGCAGTTTGCACAGTCTGAGCCATCCCACTAAACAAGCCAATGGATGTGACTCCATCCACACAATGATGTGACTGTGGGGTTTACTACCAAACTGCACTTCTGCTGCAAAATGTAACACCACTGTAGATTCCTCCTATATTTTCTACCCTAATTTTGAATAGAGGATGGTGGTTGAGCACCAGTCTATGAGTGCTCTTATGATCATACTCAGTTTTGCTTCTTCTGAAAGATTATTTCTCTGCTGAAGGCCAGACACTAAAACACCATGAGCCCAACACTGTCTCAGCCCCAGAGATGACCCTGTGGAACTATCTTCCCTTGAGGAAATTGCAATGAATGTACACAGATTTTTACACTTCTGTTTTTAACAAATAGTTGGCTCAAGTTATTAGAGCCTTCTAATCCTGCTTCCCCAGCCGCAGGAAGGTCTCCTTTGATTAAGAAGAAGAGCTGAAGGGCATGTTTTCTGCTTACCTCCAGCACACTCCTGACCACAGATGAGTTGGGTACGTGCAAGAGGCACTAGGATACACCAGGGAGGTTCTCTGTTGGACAAGGAATTGCTTTCCAACACTTCATGTTTTCTGAGCAACACTAAAGTGGGATTCTTCAACTTAATTTCAGACATCTGCATGTCATCAGATGAATGACATGCAAGGAGACCACAACGTGGAAGGAAATATGTTCCTCTCAGTATCACTGCAAATGTTCACAATGTTTTATCAATTCGTAGATGTTAGTGCCAAAAGGGATTATTAGACCATTCAGCTGGACTTATTGTATTACACAAGACTTACAAGTTCACTCCGTTTTCCTCATGATGAGCCACAGACAGATTTTGCAATGCACAACAAAATGCAGCTTTAAGCTCTGGTCCCAAGCACAGCTCTCCCAGTCCCAGATGTGTTCTGATCCTCTCATAAAAGCAAAGCATGGTAGCCAGAAATAAAGGGATTTTGTTTTTATGAAATAAACACTTGGTGTTTGCAAAATAAAGCATTTTATCCTAAACCATTTTTTGAAGAGATAAAGGTATATTTTGAGAAAAACTTTGTTTTGAGGGGTTTGCTGGATTATTTTCTTGTTGTTGTTCAAAGCCATAATGTTTATGGATTTCAGTTGCCAAAATCCATTGGCTATAAAGCAAAAATATAAACTGTTGGCTGCCAAAAGCCCAAGATTTAATATACATATATATATATATACACATAAATTGCTGAAATTTTGCCTTTTTTTTTTTTTTTTTTTTTTTTTTTTTTAATTAGACACAGAAACTTTTTGGGGGTGACAACAGGGAGTACTTTTCAGTACATTCTAACTATTATTTCTATGAATACATCTTTTTGCTTTCTGATACTAGAAGGTGTATCTTCCAAAATCTCTAGTATTGCTAGGAAAGAGTGTTTAATTAATGCAGAAGGATTTAATGAGTTTATAGTAGTCATTCATCTTGTGATAGAGGTAGGAGGAGGAAGGCATGGTGATGTTTTCACACTGAAAGAGAAAAAAATTAACTTGCATCATTCTTCCTTATTTATTTTAAGTATCACCATCTGGCTTGTAAATCTTCATTGGCTGTCAGGGAATGTAGCCTTCCTTTCTAAAGTTATGCTTTTCTAGAGATTTAAAAGCAGGAGGAGGAGAAATATAGCTAAGAATGTAATCTGAATCCAAATACAGATGTCTATTGAATCTAAATACACTCTTGGCTCTCCAGAGACATTGTTTGGAGGTTTCAGCAGACCTTTTGCTCTAACAAAACGTGTGAATCTGTCATGCTGAGGTCCTGGATCAACATTAGGATTAGCATAACAGTGGTGGCCTAGATGCAGCTTGACATCAATAGGTGACTTTGAGTAGTGTGAAGCAAGAGACCAAGCACACATTCCTTGTAAATGACTTCCAGCACAAATCTGATTCATTCATAAGTTAGCAGACATCTTTTCCACTGGCCTGGGATCAGAAAATTAAGTTTTTTATTCAGTCTTCCTGTTTCTTATTTGATCTCCATTCTTAAAGACTGTCGCCTTGAAGTTTTGTTGGCAAAAGATGTGATGAAATGAAAGATGGAGGACAGCACTGCCTGGTTTGGGACGAGCAGCAATGACAGACAAGGGAAGTGGAGGCAGAGGAAGAAGGTGAAGGAAGAAGGATTCAAGGAATCTCTTTTCTGAATGTATTTTAAATGTAAAACTTGCCTTTGCTTATAGCAGGAGAAACCTTACAGTTTGTACACTTCATTGTGGTTCCAGTTCCATGGATATGAGAGATTTTCATTTTTTAACCTCCCTCAAAACAAACAAACGAACAAACAAGCAAACAAAAAAAAAAAATCCCCACAAACCAATCTTCATAACATCAAGATATCTCTAGAGATGTGGCTGTTAGGCAGTGATCACGGAAGCATAAGAAATAGTCAGGCACAACTTCATAAAAGCACCAGGTACCTAATCCCAGTTCAACAGCTGACACAGTGAGTGGGCAGCCAGGGACACTTAGAAGAAGACTTAGAAGTTTAGACACACAATAGAAATTGTTTCCCATTAAAATGTAAGAAAAATGGTCATGTTAGCTTCCTAAGAAGCTGTTCATGTTTCCTCCCTCCCACACACCCTGTGTTTTCTGCTATTTGCTGTTTTTTTCTCTTCATTCTCTCCACTCACAAGAAGATACTTGTACTGAATTGAGTTCTAATTTGAAAATAGGGTTGAAAACTGGGAAAGAGTTTTAAAAGGATTTTACTTGGCTGTTTTATCTTAAGCAGGTGCAGAGCCCCTGCTCTATCATATGATGGAAATGCAACCCTCCTTTCACGTTTGCTTTGCCATTATTCAGTCTTTGCTTATGGAAATGGTGATGTATGCATGTGTGTTTTTTTTCTGGATATGGATGTGAAGACTGGAAAATTATGGGTGGAAGGGTGGAGGGACCGCTGCTCTAGCTGCTAAGATCACCTTGACCTATAATATTAATAAAACTCTCTGTCTCCTTTGCAACAAGTGAGTGGGGAGAAAAAAAAAAAGTAAAAAGTAAAGCTACTGTTTTAAGTTAGTTGTGTTTTTAATTGACTTTGCATGAGCATAAACAGATAGATTAAGTTCAGATACACGTGGACTCAATCTTTGCTTTGTTAAAATAGAATAACAAGATTAAAGTGATTACAGTAGATATAAAATATCTGGTCTGTACCAAAGCATGTGAGGCAATGTCTCATGAAATTGTTCTTGCCACATAAATTAAAATCAGCCTCTCTGTGAGCAGCTGCATAGGCCGATCATTAACTGAAATGCTGAAAACAAAGAACAGAGGGTAATGAATCATGCATAATATTACATGGCATTGCGGGAAAGCAGTTTAGTGGAATAGCCACATGGATCAGTGTTAGTTAACATCCCCATTCACGATCTGGCAGAGGAATGCACACAAGCATGAATGAAATTCGCAGATCTTACTCAAGTGGGGAGTGCCAAGTCTATCTGTGAGGACAGAGGATTAGTGGCCCAGGGCCAAAAGAGGTAAGGCAACAGCGATCCAAAATGATAATTAGTGAAAAGGGGAGCTGGGAATTGCCCATGCCAAAAGAGATGTAAGGGAGAGCAAATTAAATGAAGCTGCACAACGCGAAAATGTAAACATACAGGGGAAAAAAAAAAAAAGAAGCAACAGCACCTCTCTGGACCCATTTCCATATAAAAAGTGAAGAGAAGTCTCAGAGTTTAAATAAATAAGGGAGACGATGATGTGTCTATTCAGTTCTTAAGCAACTGTGAATGAAAGCCTTTGCTATTCCAAAGGCTCAGTAAAACAGTGAGGAGTGTTTTCATAAATATATAAAAAGGAAAGACAGCATAAGATTCATATTTGGGTAATTAAAAGAAAAAGAAAGTGCTGCCTGATGAGAAGGGTCTGAAAGTCTGTTGATAGCCATTGCTTAGAGTAAGCATGGGTCTGAATGCCACAGGTAAAAGGTCTGTGAGTGCCTGTGGATGCTCCTGCTCCATGACATACAGGTGCTGGATGTACTGCTCCTGGGAAGCTGCCAACAGACTGGGAGGAAGGTGAGAAAGAGAAGTCAGTATGCTGGGAAGTTTAATGGAGAATGATCCTTTTGCAACGGAGAAGAACTGCAATTTCCATGAAATCTCCTTGGATTTGATGATGGTTCTTAGCTGGAAGAACTCAGTAGCTGACAGGCAAATATTATTATTATTATTAGTAGTAATAATAATAGTAGTAGCAATAATAATAGTAGTAGTAATAATAATAATAATTATTATTAATATAATTAGACCATTTTTTCTCAATCAAAGAAGCACTTTCTACCCTCCAATTTCCTAGCAACACACCATGCATTAGTATCTTGTAGAGATACACCCCAAATGGTTCACTGGTAAGCCCATGAATTCTAGTTGGCAAGCAATGACTTTGCCAGATACACAGTGGGTAACAGGAGTAGACCAGGGAGAAGGGAAAAGGGTGGAAAGAAAAGACTGAAGCCATTGGTGAGAGGAAGTGAGGCATTGCTCATTTTGTTATTTTCTTAGACTCACTTTTAAAAGCAATGCTCTCATTAATGAGTTTAGACAAACACAATAAAAAGGCAATCTTGCTAGATTAACAGTTTTAAAAACTGTTAAGGTTGTTTTTCAATACTGTAATGCCGGAAAATTAAAAAGAAAACATATTTATCCCTTGGTATGGCACAACCTGTGGAGACCAGTTCTTCGTACTTTGATCCTTTGTCTCTGAGAAAGAAAATAAATAAATAAATAATAATACAGAAGCATATTAACAATAGAAGGTGACAGACAAAAGCAGAATACTTCCTGCCTATGATGGGTCTGCAAAAGAGTAACCGTACTGACATGTGTGTCATAAATCTGGCTTTAAAATTCAAGACTTGCAGTGCTTTAGGTATGGTCAAAACCTGGCCTGGCTTGTATAGAGATTTTCATTAGGGGAAAAAGAATTTTAAGATATCATTTCTAAGGGAATGAGTGATTTGGGGGCACTCAATGTTTGGCACCCATTCTTAAACACTTTTTAGAAATGCAGAGCTTCGTCTTTTTTAAAATCAGATTTCTTTTTACTGTAATTCCACCAGAGCTAAAGCAGATATATTCTCAAATCATTTCTATTAAAGCCGATTTTCCCTGGTGAGAAATCATGGATGTGGGTCTCTATTCATAAGACATAGTTCAGTTTTAAGACTCTCTCTACTGTAACTTCATCTGGGTTGGAGAGGCATTGCACCTGATTTTTATGGCATTAGGAAAAAGATGTACATTCTGAAAATGCCTCCTAGACAGGTAACAACAATCTTTTCCCTCGATGCTTGGATAGAGTTCCCCCTGTGATAAATGTGTAAACAGCCACTTGGTCTCACTTCATCCCCTGCCTCCATCTCAGCTCTCTGACTGCCTCTCTCCTTTTTAGCACTTCAGGTCAGTCTTTCTCCTGCAGCCTCGCAGTTCTTATCAAATTCACAGACAATATAGGTTGAATTAAAATTATGACAGAGCTCCCCGATCCCTGTAACTTCACCTCTTCTTGCAGAGCAACATTCCAGGTGAGTCAAAATGGCTCAGAGATCTGGTTCTGAAAATAGGCACATCTGCAATGCTATCAACGCTCTTGCTTGGCTGAAATTTTCCAATATTACTGTGTTTCAATGCAATTTTTTTGTTGTTGCTGTTTTGTTTTATTTTGTAGAAAACCAACTTACTTTTGTGTATGTGTATTTCTGTGTGCACAAATTTTGGCATTCAGTATCTTGCCAAGAATTTATATAGGGACATAGATAGAAACAGACATAGATCTATTAATTCTAGGCAATTCTAGATCTATTAATTCTAGGCATAGATCTATTAATTCTGGTTGTTGGTGGTGTCTTGGTATTGTTGTCGACACTTGTGGGGAAATAAAGCAATTTTTTGCACATACTATATTCCAAATTTCTTTCCAGTCGATAATGGCTGTCTCAGCCATACTAAGCCGTGCTTAATGTGGCCACTCTATTTTCTTGGCAGACTGTCACACAGAGTATACCTCAGATCCCAAGTCTTCTGCTCCAAGTTCTCTCATTATGAAAATTACAGGGTACATCTTGGCCTTGTTTGTCCAATCTGAATGGCTGCTATTCCCTCCCTCAAACACCCAGTTATGAAGGTCCCCTCTAAGGCATACACTCACTCACACGCTCACACACACATATTACTCAACAAGACTCTATTTTAAATGCTAATAAATGTCTACGGCTGATTTTGTTTGCTTTTCTGGTTAACCATCTTTACTACTCCACCTCCATCATCTCTTTTTCCAGGAAGAATGTTCCATGTTCACCCCACAATTAAATTCCAGACAGCCTGTGAATTCAGCACCGAGGGAGTTCTTGGGAGATTTCATCTATTATGAAAGATAGATGAAAAAATAACAACCCTTGGTTGCTTCCAAGGTGTACAAACTATATTTGACCACCCAAACAGAAGGCAATGTTCCTTCCAGTTATAGAAAAAATAAAAATAAAAATAAAAAGCCCAGCTCAGACACTATGGGAGACTCTTTTTTTGGAAATGCAACAGGGTTTAGTGCAAACCAAAACCAAAAAAGTTCAACCCAAACTATGAATGCAAGAAAGGGGGTATATGTGGTTTGCTCCTTTTAATAAGCTCCCACCTGATCCCAAGAGGGTTATTTATATTTTAACTACATATGGGACATAGGATCTTTATCACAGAACAGCAATTTACAAATTACAACATCTACTTCAAGGAAATTAAAATTGGATTTGGCTGAAGTATAATCACACTACTGTCTTTTCTCAAGGTCTTCTTTATTCTCTGCTGGACTCACCTCCACAGCCCACTACCAACCCAAAGTATCATTTTGAAATTCCAGATATAGGACAGCAAAGCTGTCGCTGCTGTCAACCTAAATGTTCTTCCATTTAGAGATGCTCTAGGAAGAATTAACTGAAAGTATGTAAAAAAAAAATTGTCAGGAGAAAAAAAAAAAAATAGGAGAATTCTGCCAAGGGAAGAAGAAGCCACAGTAGAATAGAGAATTATGAGGAAAGGAGGCAGAAGGAGGTAATAGCAGCTGCATTTAGGACAAACGGCTTTAACTGCCTGAGCAGATTCCCCACTTTGACTCAGCATAGACACAGTCCTGGCCTTGTAACTCCTAACCACAGCACCTTTGGCCCACGACACTACATGATTTAAAACAAGGGACAGCTATTGCCTCTGTAATGTTCCAGCTTGCTGACAGGCTGGCATGCTTTGGTCTTGAATTATTTCATTATCTAGTCCAACAATCCTGCTTATAGAAGGGTCACCTATAGCAGGTTGCCCAGAGCCACGTCCAGATGAGTTTTGAATTTCTCCACAGATGGAGACTCCATAAACTCTCTGGGCAACCTGTTCCAGTGTTTGACTACCTCACAATAAAAATGTTTTGTTTTGTTTTGTTTTTTCTTCTGTAGAAGTAGAATTTTCTCTATTTCAGTTTTTGTTCACATGGCCTCTTGCTTTGTCACTAGGCACCACTAAGAAGAGTCCATCTCAGTCTTCTTCACTACCAGTGGTTGCGTATTTCTATATAAAGGTAAGCTCCCCCTGAGCCTTCTCTTCTCCCAGCTGAACAATCCCAGATTTTTAAGCTTTACCTCATAGGACAGTTGCTCTTAAGTCCCTTAAAGGTATCTTGTGGCCCTTCACTGGGCTTGCCCCAGTGTGGTGAGGAGCCCAACACTGGACCATCTGATGAGGTGTCTCTGGCAGTGCTCTTCCTAATGAAGCCCAGGATGTTGTCTGCCTCTGCCACAAGGACACGTTCCTTGTTCCTTGTCAACTAGGTGTCCACCAGGACGTCCAAGTACTTTCCTGCCAAGTTGTTTTCCAGCCAGTTGGCCATCAACTTGTATTGATGCAACGAATTGAATGAGCTGGAACTCTCAGACGTACTCAGCACGTCCTGTAACACAAACCAGCCAAACTTACATGCAGACCCAACAAAACCCTTGAACTCCACTTCAAGGCAACACAGATAAACATGGTGATAGCCTTTCCTCTCTCCAGTGTAGGATAAACGGGAAAATTAGTGTTTGCTCCATTTATTGAAGATGTTCTCATGGACATCATGCAAGACAGTAGAGCCCAATAGGAATAAAAGCTGTGGAAGAACTAAAGTAATGTACAGATTTTTATCATTTGCCCCTATATGATCCCAGAAGAAAGCTACATATTTTTATATTTTTGAGTTCCGAGTAAATATTACCATACACGCAGAATTTTTGGATATCCTAAACTCTAGACTTATAGGTGTTTGAACTGCAGTTAGATGGGCTGTTAGTACGCCAGTTATTCACTACTGACTATAAAAGGTATGAGAAAAAATGATCTTAGATTAGACAACTTAATAAATTCAAAAGAAGCTTCTTCAAATGCTGAAAATGAAATCACTGTCTCAAGGTCTTTAGGGTGTTCTTTTGAAAATTTCTCAAGCTATCAGATTGGCGTAGGTCACCCTGAAGAGAAAAGTATTTTTGCAAAACTAAAATGGGCTAGCAAAATCCCAATCCATTAAATATGCCCTTCAAAAAAAAATCTGATATCTATTCTTTTTTTTCTTTGACATAGATGGAAAAGACTATTATTTGGAAGATGAAAATACTCAGGGGTAAAAATGTGGCGATATTTTTCAAAGAGATAGATAGATAATTACATGATAGAGGATGAAAAGAAAGACTGTAACTATTGTTCTAGTCTGACTGAATATCTTACAAGAAGGGTATTGAAGATGGTCATCAGTTCCATGCCATCATCTGATCAGAACCAGGAAGATAATCATCAGAGAGAAGATGAATAAAAAACTGGCTCTTACAAGCAGAGAAATTTTAGCTCCACTTCATTTAAAACTTCAAAAGAGGACATTACAAGATTAGGCTAAAAACTTGGAAGGAGTTCAGCTTGCGCCGTATGTTATCCAAATGCATTCAACCCTCCTTGACCCTGAGTGTGCAAGGCAGCTGGAAGGCAAGCAGTCACAACATGGAAGGAATGAAGATCTGGTGGTTAAACCATTAGAGAAGGCCCCAGGAGAACTGCTCTTATTCTTCAGTATGTCCACAGACTCCCCACATGAATGTAGGCAGGCAGTTTAGTCTCTGTGGGCCTCCCCTCACTTCTGTGATGAAAACATACCAATGGTCCACATAGCTCAAAGCCAAAATGATCTGACACGAGTGGCCACAGAGTCCAGTTCTGCAGAACACAAAGGCTAACTCATTTATTAAACCCAGCCTCCTTCTTGCCTTGCCTATTAAGAGCAAAGCCTTCTCCATGGCAAGGCTTTCTCTTACAGCTTACATTTAAAAGCCCAGAGTCATCCATCTGGCTGTGGGCTCTACACTGAGAAGACTAAAAAAGGACCTCACACATAGCCAAGACTCTTTCCAGTTATTGCAGAAAGGCAGCCAAGGAGTATGCGAGATCTCAGATAGGCTGAAATATCTTCATGGGTTACCTGTTTGCATGAACCAGCCCTTTCTGTTTATAAGGTCTTTCTTGGACCTGGATGCTGCAGCAGGTTTCTGAATGACCCTATGGAAATACAATGAATAAATATCGACTATTATGGGAGCTTTTAATGTTTTATCTTCAGCAAAGTAGCTGGAAAAGGACACCTTCCTTTAGCTTGTCTTTCACCTCCTACGTCTAAAGTCTCACATATAGAACACACTTGACAGAAAACACTCACATACAGAAAACACTTGACAAGGACGTGGCATTTCATAGCAGTTTTACCTGCTGCTGTTTTACCTGCTGCTAGCTCTGAGAACTGCCCCATCTCAGTGTAAAGAGGCAGACTTAGCAAACAGGACTTAGAGTAGTTTTGCAGTTGGCACAGAGTGGACACAAAGTAGAATGTGCACCCCGTAGGGACAAAAAGATCCTGCATCTGCACTGATGTCCTCCATCGTATTTGTTTTCTGCAAATGATCCACTGGAGTTATACCTTTACTTAGTACTTCTGATGTTCCACTGTTAATTCCCTTAAATTCTTCTGCCAAAATAAGCTTCAAAAGGCCCCTCAAGTGATCTGATGTCTCTCTCCTTCTTTCATACAACTGGTATCCTGGACACAACATACCTGTCACACAGAGCCTAGCATTACAGGGATGAAAATGCTTGTGAGGTCTGAGAGAGAGCAGTGGCATTGCTTGTCATGCAGACATGGCTACAGAGCAAGAAAGAAAGCATCGAATAGGTAGACGTTTCTGGTGACAAATCTGGAGAGAAAAAGGTAAGAATTGTAAAGCAGCACTGCTGGGGCAGGTTCAGGGAAACCTTTCTTTTCATTGGCGTGCAGGAGGTGACAGACTGGGACAGGGAAGAGTTGAGTCACTCGGAGTGCGGGAAGCTGTTGTTGGCTGGATGAAAGAAAATAGAGGAAACAGGAGGTGCACAGAGTGCTTCAGAGCATAGATGTATGGTCACCATGGCAATCAGCCCTCCCCTTTTATTAAACTTTACCCTGCATATAAATAGTCCCAATATAGATAAGGTTTCGTGATGCATTCAATATAAACAATCCATTTCAATTTTTTTTTAATAATGATGCTGACACTGAATTGTCTGGGCAGAAAGGGGTTTAGACTCTTTTATTTAAATAGAAAAAGTGAACATGATCCAGCAGTTTCCACAAATAAGGTAAGGGAAAATATTTTGCTTTGCCCAAGTTAAAGAAAAAAAAAAAGAAGGAAAAATTGGAATTTGGAGTTATGTCTCTTTCTAAAATAAAATTCACACATATTTGGCAGAAATATAAGCCTTTGAAAATCATCCTTTGCATGAGAGATTTGCAGCTATCATGTAATTCTTCCATTCCAACTGAGCACACTATATCCTCACCGCACAAATCTGTGGTCCAGCATGTGAGGGATCTGTCTTCAGAAGATATGTCTGCATCCATGCGGTGACCCTTTGGGAGACATGGTGGACATCATAGGCTGGATGCTAAACAAATACATCTGACCCTCCCTTCTTTCATTCATCTTCACCTATGCTGCTATGCATTCATCATGGCTGTAGAGGGCATCCCTCCTTTTTGCTCCTTTGAGATATCACAGATGCCAAGCATTAGGAGGAATGGGAAGAAAGTCTTGCATTCTCCATGACAAGGGGAAGGCTGTGGAGGAAGGTGAAATAGTGGGATCAAGACCCAGATGATAATCAAAACCAGACCATATTGAGACAAGAACTTTGATATGGGAAATTTCAACAAGGAGTATTCATCCAAGCAAAAGTACAAAGTAGACAGAATCACAGAATAGTTTAGGCTGGAAGGGACCTCTGGAGGTCTGTAAGCCACCCTGTGGTTCTGTGATGCCATTTGCAGCAGCAGCAAAGAAACCAGCTTATTCTCTACTGGTCTAGCTAGTGACAGCATGCATGTCTCCACTGCAGATCTCTACATTTACAAAGTTCCCATCAAGGTATTTGTGGAAAGCCTTTCAAGTCATGTCTTTTTATTACCTCTACAATTTCTTTTTGTGAGGAGTACTAAACCAGACACAAGCTGATGGACTGCTTCCAGCAAATCCTTCTTGCCTGAGAGAAGGCTGAATAAATTGTCTGGTGCCTGGGACAAGACTCAGACTGCTCAGGTGCCAGGGTCCTTGATGAGTTTCAGTGAGGATTCATTGAACAGAGGGTGAGATTCATCTCCCGAAGCACACCTCTAAAGCAGGGGTGATGCAGGATGCCTCCAAAATGCCTATTTCTCACCATTGATTGTAAAGTGTGGGATAATGAACTCAGCCGGAGACATCTACATTATCAACAGCTAAAGCTAGCTCAGGTGACAACTGCTTCCAAGAAGACCATGTGCAGTTTGCTTACCACCTGGTCATGCACACATTCACATTTCATTTCTTCCCTGGGGCTGCCTTTTGAATTACCAGAAAGCATAACCTTGACATTGTCCTTTATAAACTCCCAACGTATCAGCTTGAAGCAACACCAGGAGCTTACTGGTGGTGTTTCCTCTGCAGGTTTGTTTTCCTGTGTTAAGCCCAAGACAGGGTCAACCAATTAAAAATGTTAACAAGGGTGAGATTTGCAGTGGCTGTTCAACACAAAAAGGCATAAATGTCGTGCAAGAGGGGACAAGGCTCGAGGACTCATGGGTCAATGCTCCCATTGCCTGAGCTGGTGAACCAGCATGATTTTGCACTTTTCCTCACTGCTTTCTGCGTGTCCACATTTCTGGCCAGTCAGTAGGGCAGCTCTGGCAGGAGCAAGAGAACAACAGAGTCCCTAGCACTGTGCTCTGCCTGCCAGGTGGGCTGTAGTGAATGTAGTTAGCAATTGCCTGAGGCAGTTCAGGCAGAAATCAGCATGTTCACCCTTTCCTTGAAAAGCTCATGGCCTCTACAGCCATGAACTTGCATGGCAATGTTTTTTTTTTTTTTTTTTTTTTTTTTTTTTTTTTTTTTCCCCTGCCTTTTAAACAGTACTAATTTGGTCTAAGCTCTTTTTAATTGCTATATAAAGGCTCCCAGAGCCCTGTGGCATGAAATTATTAGGGATCAGCTGTGACTA